GAGAAACGATTCCTCACTCCACTAAGGGACTTCGAGTCATCAAAACGAACAAACAAAAAACGCTATCATATCTAGATTCTCTTGGTGATCAATATCAATAGGCAGGGCAGCTGTAGCGGGTCAAAGCTCAAGTCGATTGGCGACTGATAAGCTGCCCACTGCCGTGCCCTGACCTGCCCTGTCGTGCCCCACCTTGCCATGATGAGCCCTCGCTCACGCTGCCATTTCACATCAAAAAAAAAAAAAAAAACTCTTGAAAAAATAACGTAAAATAAAAAGGGGGTCAAAAGACGTTTTGTTAACATTATTGACCCCTTCTTGATGCACGAATGTCAATGAGACTGAGAGACTGGACACCCAGAGACTAGGAGACTAGGAGACTCAGTTCACACACACACACACACACACACACACACACACACACACACACGCACACACAAAAGGCAACTTACTCACGAACCACCACACACGCACTCACACCTTGCTAAGCAAGTTGCATGCTTGACAGTGGTGTGGTGTGCTTGCACCATGCCCCCCCCCCCCTCCTCATAGTAACCACAAGCTCTATGTGTGTGTGTGTTAGCACATTTTTCTTCAAGCAAGAGTACGTACAACTTACGCTCTGGATGTGTGTGTGTGTGTGTGTGTGTGTGTCTCTCTCTCTCTCTCTCTCTCTCTCTCTCTCTCTCGCTCTCGTAGCGCTGGTTGGTGCAGTGGCAGTGGCGGCGGGAGTGCATAGAATCCCCGTGTGAGTGTGTGTGGGTAGGAGCAGGCTCATGGGTGTCATTGGTTGGTGTGTGCTTGCTTAGGCTGCATTCAGTTTTGTGTTCGACAAGCAGAGGTTGGTCTTTGATGATTTTCAATCACTGGATCGAATCGCTGGAGCCTTGGTTCCTCGATTCGCTTCGGCTCGTCGCTGGGTCGGACCACACCCGTCCCTCACCCTGTACGCCCCTGTACGTGCTTGATTTGTGCCTCTAGACAAGCATCATGGGTTTTCCTTCGGATATCAAGCCAGGTGTTGTCACCGGCGACAACCTCCTGAAGCTGCTGCAGTACGCCAAGGACACGGGCTTTGGTATGATTCGCCGTGTCGAGTCGAAAACTTGATCTTGTTCTTGCCATTGCTCTGTGCACCCCGTGTGCCTGTTCTCAACCCATTCTGCACTCTATTTCAGCCATCCCCGCCGTCAACTGCACCACCACCTCGACGGTCAATGCCGTTCTCGAAGCTGCCGCCAAGGTTAACTCGCCGGTCATGTGCCAGGTAAGCCTTTTCCCCCAACACGATCCGCTGAACGACGCACAACCCCACGCACCTGTACCCCATTCCAATTCCCTATTATGCGTTGTACTTCACCCCTTTGCTTGAAAGGCCCAAGCCTGCATGTGTGTGTGTGTGTGTTTATCACCCCATGCCGTTGTTCTCAAACGCTCTACTTTTTTTTTTGCCTTGTCAATGTCCAACAGGTGAGCCAGGGTGGCGCTCAGTTCTTCGCGGGCAAGAGCCTGCCCAACGACAAGCAGCAGGCTTCCATTGCCGGCGCCGTCACGTTCGCCTTCCACGTTCGCCTCATGGCCGAGCACTACGGTGTCCCCGTCATCTTGCACTCGGGTATGACTCGTCCTCCCTTCATACCAGTGTGGTGTGCTCGATGTTGCAATAATGATTTGTCATGGGACCCATTTTTGCTGCTCATTGCTCACGTCAATCACTGTCCTGCTCGACATGGCTCGGCCCGCGCAGACCACTGCGCCAAGAAGCTTCTGCCCTGGTTGGACGGCATGCTCGAGGCTGATGAGAAGTATTTCAAGGAGCACGGTGTGTACTTGTGGTCAATGCTGGCACCAGTGCTGAGAGTATGCAGCTCAATTATGTCATACACAGCATAATGCATCTCCATGCACACAAACCTCTCACTGTTTTGCAATTTACTCGCACACACACGACAGGCGAGCCCCTCTTCTCCTCTCACATGATCGATCTCTCCGAGGAGTCGCTCGAGGACAACATCGCCACCTGCGAGTCTTACCTTAAGCGCTTCGCCAAGGTTTGTCCATTCATCTCACGTCATCGCCCCGACTGCCGTAGTGCTTCGGCTCGTGCCTCATAGCTCTTGCCGGCTTTTCTTCCCCTTGCAGATCAACATGCTGCTTGAGCTTGAGCTCGGCATCACCGGCGGTGAAGAGGATGGCGTGGACAACACGGATGTGGACAACAACTCCCTTTACAGCCAGCCCGAGGACGTGTGGGAGTGCTACCAGCGTCTCAGCAAGATCAGCCCCATGTTCACCGTGGCTGCCGCCTTTGGCAACGTGCACGGTGTCTACAAGCCCGGCAATGTCAAGCTCTCCCCTGAAATTCTGGGCAACTCGCAGTCCTTTATCAAGGAAAAGCTTGGCTGCGATGAAGACAAGCCCGTCTTCTTCGTCTTCCACGGTGGCTCTGGATCGGAGAAGGACAAGATTGAGACCGCCCTCACGCACGGCGTTATCAAGATGAACATTGACACCGACACCCAGTGGGCCTATTGGGATGGTGTCCGCAAGTACGAGGCTGACAAGCACGACTATCTCCAGGGCCAGATCGGCAATCCGGATGGCGACCACAAGCCCAACAAGAAGCAGTATGATCCCCGTGTCTGGCTCCGCAAGGCCGAGGAGAGCATGGTTGTCCGTCTTGAGGAGAGCTTCAAGGACCTCAATTGCGAGAACCGCCTGGCCTAAATCGGCTTGACCAGGGATTTCTCGTTTAGGTGTGTTTTGTTGTGGGCGTGCTCCAATCTGGTTGAAAAAAAAAAAAAAAACACAAGTGCTTGGGCTCTCGCCTTCGGGCCATCGCATCGCATGACCTCTCCCTTCGACAAATACAGCAGCGCCTCGCGAAATAGAGGGGGAGAGGGGCATTCACACACATCAAGATTGAGTTTACTTTGACAGCTCATTGCAATTGGGTGGTGTGATGAGCGGGCCTAACGTAGCAAAGAGGAAGGAGACACGGTAAAAATATAAAGCTTGGGGGGGGGGGAGCCGAAAGGGCTCAATACACAAAAAAATTCGACCAAACCAAACAGTAGAATGGTCTGTCATCGTGCTGTGCACACTGCTCTGAGCACACTGTCTGAGGATCATCATGAACAGTGCACCAGAGAGTCGATAACACGCGCACACGGTGCCAGAAACATGACTCACGATGCCGCTCAAAAGACAGGCAGAGCTAATTTACTTGGCCAAGGCCGCGCGAATCTCCGACACGAGTCCATCAATCAGCGATTCGGCTGAAGCCTTGAAATCGATCGATATTGACTGTTCTCCCTTATCCTTGGCCAGGATGCATACGACATCACCATTGACTGATTCACCAAAGAGCGAGGCAGCCTGATCCACAAACTCGACACCCGCAAAACCAAGCGAATGGATGGCATGCACACCCTGCGCAAACGGAGCACTGCAAGAAAATACTTCGCTCTTGCTCGCACTTAATGACCCACTCGACAGCTGTTCCGTAAAGCGATCCTACAACACGAGAGGCAAGTCGGCAGGGTCAGACCACCAAAGATCAAGTCGTGGAGCTGGGGTGCACACAGCATGTAAACGCCAATCTGCACGCAAGCCTCGTCCGCACCGTGGAGCACGCCTCCCGCTTGAAAAAAGTGGAGCAGCCAAGAGCAATTTCAAACGCCAGCTCGCCGTCAGCAGTGTCCGCTGTTGCATACTCAACCTTGCCCGTCAGGGTCACGGGTTTGGTTGCATCCTCGACGCTCAAGGTGACAACAGCCTTGTGCTGCGTCGACATGCCCAAAGTCTGCGGCTCGTTCAAGCCTTCTTGAGACGCCACCTGCATGTGGGAACGGGTATGGGTATGAGTTGAAGCGGCATCCCGATACAAAGCGGGAAAACAAGGCATACCTTGACACTCGAGGCCGGTTCATCAATGTGCAGGCTCTTCAGAGTGACCTCGGTTTCGACGATGTTCTGAAAGACAAAGGTGACTTGCACTTGCTTGTCCAGACCCTAGCGATTGTCAAAATCAAGGCAAAAAATCAAGAGGAGGTCTGCAACAGCGCTCTTTGCCAGCAGTGACAGGTACAAGGAGCTGCGAGACCTACAGAAATGGCGTAGGCAGAAGCCAGATGATCGCCCTTGACAAGCGGGCGCAACGCCAAACCTAGAGGGGTGCAGACAAGTGCCATACAGCGGCAAATCAGACCCTGAACAAAGCGGAGAGCAGTGGTGCCTACACGGACAGGTCGAGCCTGGTCACGCATAGCGTGCCGTCAAGTCAAGAACAAGATACGCACTTGGTGAGCTTGGTGCTTCGCTATCGTGGTGTTTGTGCTTCTTCTTCTTCTTATCCTTCTTATCCTTTTTGTCTTTCTTTGACTTTTTCTTGGTCTCGCCGGCCGCTGCCTCGGCCACGGGAGGCTCGGCTGCCACCTCAACAACAGCCTCTGCCACAATCAAGCAGGCGCATCTGAGTGAGAAGAGAGCTCAAAAAAAGTACAGAGAGCTCAAGGCAAGTATCAATCGCGCAAAGGCGCGGAGACAAAATTTGGCAACCCACCAGGCTCGGCATCCTCGGTCACAATCTCGACATTTGCAGGCTCAGCCTCGGCCTCGGCTTCGTGCTCGTGCTCGTGCACATGCTCATGCTGGTGTGTGTGGTGTTCACCGTGCTCCTTGGATTTCTTCTTCTTCTTCTTCTTGCCATCCTTGTCGGCTTTTTTCTTGGCCTTGCGGGCCTCGCGAGCACGCTGGCGCTCGAGCGAGGCCAGCTCCTCGGCACTCAGGCCCTTGGAAACGTGGTGACTGGGCGTGGGTAGCACCATCTCACTGGCATCCATCGGAGCATCGAGGTCGATGTCCAGGGCCCGGTGCGGATCATCCACATCATTGTTCTAATTGTGGGTTCCAATGCGAATCGCGTGAGTACGGTGCGCTGGACCAAAGCTGGGTGGAACACAAGGACACAAACAACGCGCTCTCCCTTCCCTCCGGGCTTCTTCGCCTTTTCCTCTGCTGGCCCTTTTTGGGCCCTGCCGGTGAAAACGGTCAAGTCGTTCCGAACGAACTGGGGTACCTACGTCATCGGGGTCACTGTCCGCGACACCGTCGGGCATTTCCTCTGTGGCCTGGATCTCGATGGAGGGTTCGGGTTCGGATTCCGAGTCTGACGGCACGGGCAACCCCTTCTTTTTGAGAGCCTTCTTTTCCTTCTTGGACAATTTCTTCTTCTTCTTCTTCTTGGGCATGGTCGGAGCCACATCGAGACCCACGTAGAGGGGTGTTTGCACCTCAATGTGGTCAATGGGGATTTGTTCCACAGGAATGTCGCTCACGTCTTGGAAGGTTGCCTTTTCGGGGGAGTGACGCTCACCGCCCGTGGCACCACCCAGATGGTAGGGGTTTGCCTGTTGCATGGCCAGGCGCTCTTGGCGCTTGCGGTTGCGTGTCTCCTCGTCTTCGTCCTCGTAGCGTGGGCCTGCAGCAGCAGCAGCCCCGACAGGGGTGGTACCAAAGCCAAAGTCAAGGCCAAAGTCGAGATCGTCATCATCCTTTGTATCGGCTTCGTCGTCCGAGGCAGGTGGGGTGTTGATCCATTCATCGAGATCCAAGCCTTCGGGCACGGGCACTTTGCGTTGGGCCTTGGGGGCCACGGGGTTGAGTTCTTCGGCGAAGAGCTGAAGCAGCTCGTGGTCAAGAGCCTCACCCTTCTCACGCTGTGCTGCCAGAAACCCGACCATTTCGCCGACAAAGACAGCGCGTTCCTGGACCTCGAGGTCGCCACTTTGAACAAAGAGGGGGATGCGAGAGGTGATAACGTTGACAATGGCGTTGAGGCTGTCGACGCTGCCCTCCCCCTTTTGAATCTTCTCCGTGAGGCGAGCGTAGATTTTCAGGGTATTGTGCACGCAGACGGCTTGAATGTGCGCGGGCAGGGACGCGACACGTGGCTGAAGCAGGGCCTCGACGACCGCTGCCTCATCCGTGAGGTGTTCGGCATACTCGCCCACGACAAAGGCGGAGGCGTAGAGCACCTCATTGATGCCGTTGATCGTGCTGGAGAAGAGACGGGACTCTTGGAGCAGGCCCGCCAGGGCGGGAACGGCAAAGTCGCGGATGGACTTGACGCGAATGGCCACGTCCATCAACTGGGTGGCCAAAAGGCGGCCATGGCGGGTGTTCTCGACACGGGTGAGCTGGATGAGGACCTGAACATACCACTTAAAGTCGACGACAAACTGGTAGTGGTTCTGGGCCGACATGTCAACAATTTTTGAGACGACCTCGTCGCGATAGGAGGCCCCGTCAGAGTTTTCAAGATGCACGAGAAGGCGGCGCACAATGTCCACAAGCGTCTTTTTGTTCACCATGCCGGCAAGGAGATCGAGGGCACGGAGACGAATGCTCTCGTCGCGATCATCGAGACATTCGATGATGAGGTCACGGTGCGGAAGAACGGCCTTGGGTTGAATCTTGAGGACTTGCGCCATGGCTTGCAGACCGAGGTATTTGAGGTTTTGGTCATGGTCCTCGATGAAAATGCGCAACTTCTGGACACAGAGCTGTAGAGTCGAGACATGCTCGGGCATCCCAGAGAGCACTGTTTGAATGCACTCGTAGAGCAGGGACATGGCCGGGGTGCTGTTGATCAGGTCTGTGAGGGGATCGGCCAGCTTCTTGGCCAGGCGCGGCTCCTGGTGAAACGACCGACAGAACAGAGGTCATGACAGATCAGGCAGAGGCTGGGGCAGCGAACACAAAGACGCGGCGCGGAACATTGAGTCAAGTGGCGAGCTAAGGGGCCAACGCACCAGGGGGCAGAGGGCAGCAAAGAGCTTGATAATCTTGATGCGCATCCAGTTGTTTTGCGAGCTGTTTAGAATCTTGAAAAAGGTGGGTGCGAGGGAGAGGTAGTTCTTGGGATTTTTGCGGGCGAGTTCACAAATGACGGAGACGGCAGCGCTCTGAACGGCGGGGTCCGAGTCTTCCAGCTTGTCCTTAAGGCGGGGAAAGGCCGCACGCAGCGCTTCGGGGTACTTGAGAAAGAGCGGGTACGTGCACAGCGTTGCTTTCTTGCGCACGTAGGGACGAACGGAGGTCATCAAAGTGATGACATCGTTGCCCAGATCGCTGTTCCGCAGGAAGGCAGCAGGCAGCAGAAGGCCGTGAGGCATGATGCGGAGGGCAGCCAGAGGGAGAGGGCGGACCCCAGAATATTTGTGCGTTTTGGTGCATGTGGTTGGGGGCATTTACTGTTTGGCATACCGTGCCAAGTCAGGGGTCATAAAGTTGCTGAGGCCGTTGAGTGCCAGGCCGACTTCGTACATGTTCTGCGAGGTGAGGCCCTGTGGGTGTCGAAAATGATCAAATGGCGGCGAACATCAATGCGGCTGGTGAGACAGCGTCATCCAAGGCGGCCGTATCAACTAGACAATGGTATCTGGCGGAAGAGAGTGGTCTGGACCTTTTTCAGCATGTTGGTGGTGAGCATGAGCACATCCGTGTCCTCATGGAAGCTTTGCGCTGCCGCAAGATAGCCAATCCGCTGTCCCGTGAAAGGAGGTTGGGGGACGGAGGGTTGATTATCAAAGACGGATTGAACCATGTGTGAGAGTGTGCAGGTGCTTGAGCCAAGAGACCGACGAGACTAGCAATGTGACGGACGGGAGAGACGAGAATGGGTTGAGCAAACCTTGTGCAAGAACTTTTTCGAGGTCATGACCTCGACAATTTGGAACGAGGCCCAGGAAATGTCAAAGCCAAGCATTTGAAGCTGTAGGCGCCATGTCGACAGGCGCGGGCACGGGCGAAGATTGAATTGGGATGAGCTTGCAACGTTGGACAAGGCTTTGCTCTTGACATGGCAAACGAGCGGGGTCAGATGGGGGAGAAGCAACGCACATAGGTGAGCTTGGCGATGGCGTTGGCCTTCACGTCGAGATCGGGATTCTTGAGTTCCTTGCGGCACTCATCCATGCAGTTGCTGATGTATTTGGTCTGCAACAACGACAAATTTTGGTGTCGGCAAACGTGTGGGGCGTGAGGCGACATCGCGCGCGCGCGCGTATGCGTGGGTGTGTATGTGCACTGCAGTGCGCAGTTGGACATTGGCTGGGCAAGAGGGAGAGCCAAATGATAATTTTTTTGAAACACACCTCATCATCAGGGTGGGCACGGATCCCGCGGATCAAATCTGAGAGATTTTTCTCAAACATGATGTCGGTGTCAGAAGCGCCAACTGTTTGCATGGAGAGTCGAACATGAGTCGACAAGTCAAAGAGCGGCAAGAAGGTGGTACAGATGAAGCCAGCCGTGTGAAAAAAAAAGAGGGCAGAGGGGAGAGCGTTCAATCACAAGGCAAGGCAAAGGATCAAAATAAGTGAGAAAGACATTGGGGGACAAGGGTTGGGGGGGGGAACAGGAGGCGACTCGAACGTGAGCGATCAACGACACACCGCGCGTTGGCCTCTGAGCCCGGCACAATCAGGTCCAAGGGAGGGACGACGCAAGGAAGCAGACCCTGTCACGGCAGCAAGGACAGACACACAGCAGACCAAGGCATGCGTCAGGGTGCAATGAGGGTGTGAACAGGTACAGGCGCCAGTGTATGGGTGAGCGCGAGCACCGCCCAGCGGCGCACAACAGCCGATCGCTCAGTGTCAGTCAAGCCCAGTGCGGCACATGCAAACTCGACAGATTGCCGGGCCTGCGTTCATTGTTCTATCAAATGCATTCCGGTCCCTTGAACACTGCCTCTTCCCCCCCTCCCCCCATGCTTCCGTCCATCTCTCTGTATCCGTTTGCTTCTCATACTCAATATCCATGCCACTGCCAACAGATGACGCGCTGCCCTTTTCGGTGCGTTGTGTCGCTCACCTCCTGCGAAACAAGTGAACAACAACAACAACAACAACAACTCTCTCTCTCCTCTGTATCATCCGCTTGCAAGCAAAGATCAGTGGAGTAGCCTTGCAGCGGGCTGGCGGGAGCTGGTAAGCTTGTATTGAACAAGACGCTGTTTTTACAGCTCAAGCAATTGTGATTTTAACTCAGATCGCGTTTAGTGTAACTAATGCTGCACTATCATAATACCCGCTCTTTTGTTCCCCTCGAATTGTCAGATGTCAGATAAATTATATTAAAGGGGTAGATGTAACTTTACAAAACCCCATGGTCTTGCTGCAAGGTTCGGGTTGTCACACCATGTCCTTCTTTCGCGACGGCGACTTGTTGTCAGTCCTTGGTCTGAGATGGCTCCGCGCCTGCGGCTGGGCCTGTTTGTGTTCTGTGTGTGTGTGTGTCCGCTCCAGCATTGATTCTTTGTTGTACCTTTGTGCTGGTGTGGAGGACGGCGCCCGTCGTCTCCGGTGGCCAGTGCGTGCAACCACGACCATCCTAATCTTATGGAAGCGAACGGCAGCCGCAGCAACCCAAGGCCAGAGGGAGACGCAAAGGAGGATGTGTGCTGAATTTCTTCTCGGAACCGTCGATTGTGTGCCTTCATGCACACGGCTGATGGGTGGTCCCAATCTTTTTTTTCTTCTCTTCCCTTTCACTGCCGCACCGCCTGCCCACTTCCGATTGTAACACATTGCCCCAAAAGCCCGAGCACGTCGGCCAGCAATTCCACCCCGACACCGACACGACGACAGAAGGGGGCTTGCAGCAAGCCCCATCCCTCGTCCCCCAATCCGATGTGACACCCCCCTCCACCTTTCTTGGGAAAGCCGCAAGAACCGGTCCATCCACGTTTGTCCGTCTCCCATACTCTGCATTCGAATATCTCCCATACTCATATGCTCCCACCGGCTGCTTGACAACGCACCCCCCTCTCCGACTCAGGGAGACAGTGAGGTAGGTGGTGGGGGTGGGGGGGCTTCATCATCACCTGTACACCCCCCTCCACACACACACACATTCCATTTGCGACAGCACATTGCGCTATAAATGTGACGCAAGAGAGAGAGAGATTTAGAGAGAGAGAGAGAGAGAGAGAGAGAGAGCTTTAAAGAGAGATTTACAGTTCGAGATAGAGAGAGAGAGGCATTCAACAGGACCATCATGTTGGCGACAGCAGCACCACAAGCAGCTCACACTTTAGCTCGTACCGATCCGGCCATGACAACCGAAGTCAGCCAGGTGAGTGTGTGCCCTGTCTCCGGGGTTTTTCCCCGTCTGCCCTTTCTGTCTTTTACCACCTCGCACGCAGACATACACACACAAGGCTTCAGCTTGGCTATTGCCCTTGCTGTGTTCGGCTGCCGTTGGTTGTTCCATCATCACATACTTTGACTTTTAGACAGCACAGCACAGCGCCGCTGCCATACACACACACACGCACGCACACAGAGACACACTCAAGAGGGGCTGTGAACGCTTGATCTTCCACCACCCTTGCGTGCTGCCAAACCCGCTTCAACTTCAACCCCACCTCCCTCACTACTGCCGTCGCCAAGGGCTCACTCCGCCATGCTCCCTGCTCACACGGCTACAATCACAAAGAGCAAGCGCGAAGTCGCGGCCGCCAACCGCGGCCCGGGCCCCGCAACCTACCAGCTTCCTTCAGATTTTGGCAACCTTGGCAAGAACGCCACCAAGCGGTAAGCTCCTCTTCCCGAGCCCTCCCTTCCCTGGCTGTCTCGCTCTCCATTTTCGTCAATTCCTGTCTTCCTCTTCCTCTTGCTCTTGCGCTTCCCCTTCCGCTTCCCCTTCCCCTTCCTCATGCTCATGCACATCTGCTTCCCATCCGTCTTGGTTATTTTGCGCCCCCCTCACAGGGGCGCCGCAGCCTTCTCCATGGGCGTCAATGCCAAACCATCGGAAAAGGAACGCTCCCCCGGTCCCAAATACAACTATGATCACACCCTGACGCCTCGTGGCGCCCACAGCCAGCCAGCCTACTCGATGGCCGGACGACACGCCGCCAAGCCTAAAGACGTGACCCCTTGTAAGTCGACCCCCTCTTCCTCACATACCCCACCCAAGTATCAGCGGTGCTGCTCGTAAAAATACCAAAACGAATGCGGCCCTATTCAGCATCGCCACACTTGTGCTCAAACCCACATCTTGCATGACCTTTGCCCCCCATAGGCCCCAATCAATATGGCGAGACGGCGCCTGTCACGACAAGCCGTGTGCGCCGAGCACCGGCATTCACCATGGGGCAACGCAAATTTGCTGCCGATGACACCATCACCCCAGGGCCCAACACTTTTGTACCCCCCTCTCTCATGGTAAGCGCCAATGCCTTGATGAATCCATGCTCTGCTGGCGCGATGCGTGTGGCCTTTGTCCCGGCCCATCTCCCTCACTGTCTCTGCCTCTCTGGCTCGCTTGGAGCAGACAAAATCGCAATTGTCAACCAAGTCAACGGCTGCCGCCTTCACCATGGGCGGTCGCATTGCCAGCGCCAAAAATAAAGGCCAACCCGGTCCTGCTGACTATGCCGTCGTCGGCTTCAACGGCAGCAAGCGCAATGTACCGGCTGTCACCATTGCCGGACGCCACAAAACCAAAGCAAACAAGGAGGTCACTCCACCTGCCACAAAGTATAACCCTCAAATCAAGTCAAAGGTTAAAGGGTGAGTATCCTCTTTTTTTCCGTTTCAATCTGATGTGTCTCCAGCTCTCTTGCCGGTGTTGTGGTGGGGTCTCTTTGCAATTGCCCCGCCAATGCTTGGCCTTGCATCTCGATACACTTCTCCTCACCTCGTCCCATCAACTGACCTTGCCCGCGGATAGTGGTGTATTTGGCACTCGCCATTCAGATTTCGTCTATATTCCCCATGCCAAGTGACGCCAACCATTTGCAATCTTTTCCCGACCTCGATGCTTCATCAGCCTTTTAAAGACCTTTGCCCACTTTGATCAGCGTCTCCCATCTTGCCCCCGCTTCTCTGCGCGACCAAGTGGCTCCCCTCTTTTGACCCCCTTTACCGTGCCTTTCAACTCCTAGCTAAACTAATCTGCCCCCTTGTTTTTGCATGTGTCCGACTTGATCCGTCTTCTTGTCATCCATCCGTGGCGCCCTCTTCGCCACCTTCACCTGAATGTGTGGATAAGCTCTTTCCCCGCGGGACTTGGCTCTTTGTGCCATTGTTTTTCGTATCTTTGTGTGTGTGTGTGTGTGTGTGTGTGTGTGTGTGTGTGTGTGTGTGTGTGTGTGTGTGTGTGTGTGTGTGTGTGTGTGTGTGTGTGTGTGTGTGTGTGTGTGTGTGTGTGCTTTAGCTTTCATTCTTTGATTCGCCTCTGTGGACAAAGCCACGCGTTGAATGTCTCGTGCCCTCCTGTTCTTTTCCCCGCCGTTCTCCGCCTTGGCCTCCCATGCTGCTATTTGCCGAGTCGCCCTCTTGTCTTGACAAATTTAAATGATTCAATCCCGACCATGTCATCCTCGCTTTGACCTGCAAACTGTCCTTGAACCTGCCCTGCCAAACGCCCCCTGCGTCTCCCTCTCGCTCAAGGCGGCTCGCCATAGCATCATCATAAGGAACAAGATTATTATTTTTTTTTTGTGTGTCTTTCTTTTATGTTTTTTGTGCTGTAACGTTACACACACACACACACACACACACACACACACACACACACACACACACACACACACACACACACACACACACACACACACACACACACACACACACACACACACACACACACACACACACACACACACACACACACACACACACACACACACACACACACACACACTTTTTCGCTTCACAAATTGTGTGAAGGCCCTTGGCGGCGTTGGCGGCGGGGGGCTTGACCCAGGGGGAGAGGTAGACGAGACCTTCTTTTCTTCTTCTTTTTAGCTTGCGGCTGAGCGTTTAGCATTGACGGTGTTGATCTGGGTGGCCACGCATGATTGCAAAGGCTGCGGGATTTCGACCATGGCGATCCGGTATCATACAGTGCTGGGGGCACTGCTTTTTCTTGGCGGAGTGGCAATGATCTACCGCATCACGCTGAACCACGCGGCATGCCCAACGCCGGAGCCTGTTGTGGTGCATGAGGTTGTGCGTGAGTTTGTCAATGTGTCTCGGGCACCCGTGGTGCAAACTGCGGCTGCAGCCAAGGGCGCTGAGGGGGAGGCATCGGCAGCCGCGCTCGCACGGGCGCAGCAACTACTCGCCGCCCAGGGCAAACTGATCGAGAAGCAGAGTCGGGAGATTGCCGACCTCAAGGAACAGTACCAGCGCCAAGCGTCTGACCGTGCGGGAGCACTTCCGCCAGCCGCTCAGACAAAGACCGATCACATCCAGATTCGCCCCAAGAGCGACCAGCCAACCATTCTCGTGCTCACGCCCATGCGCCAGCGCGAGCAAAAGCTGGACCGTTATTTTCGCAACCTCGAGGGCCTCGACTATCCCAAGTAAGCGAGATACGCAGCAGAGCAGGAGAGCAGTCCTGACGGTGTGCTGCCGAGTGCATCCACCTGCCCAACGCGCCGCCCAGGGCTCACACGCTGACGTTGCAATGCCGGCAGACATCTCATCTCTGTGGCCATTTTGACGGGCGACAACACCGACCAAACCGAGCCGATGCTTCTTAAAAAACTCAACACGATGACAGGTTAGCACATTTTTCTTGACCAGCTGGCTTCCTGGCTGCATGCGGGCCGTGGACATGATATCTGTGTCTGGTTTTTCACGTTCTCCTTTTCCGTGATGCTTTTCGGCGTTTGGGGCTCTGCAACTAGAGTACCGCCGCACAATGCTCGTACGCTATGATATGTCTTACAAGTTGTCGCAGGCGGCACGGCATGCTCTGGGCGAGCAAGAGCGCCGGCGTGCCAATCTCGCGGTGGTGCGCTCCTTTCTTTCACGCTGGGTCAGGGACAAGGGGCCATGGCCGAAATCGAGCTGATTTGAGTATGATGCCGGCAGGTGCGCAACATACTTTTGACTGTTGCGCTTCGAGATGAGGACTGGGTGCTTTGGATCGATAGCGATCTCGATTCCTTCCCGGCCAATACTCTAAACCGGTGAGCTGCCGGTTCCTCTACGTGGCTCTGGATTGACTTTTCGACCTGTCGTTGTAGTTTTGCCTGTTGTTGCTGTTGTTGTTGTTGTTGTTATTGTTGTTATTGTTGTTATTGTTCTTGTGGTGGTGGTGGTGGATGTCGTCGTCGTCGTCGTCGTTGTTGTTGTTTTCAATTTCTTCGCCCTCGAACATGGATCGTGCGTGTGCTTGGCAGGTTGTTGTCAGCCAAGCGAGATCTGGTGGCACCGCATATTGTTTTGCCGCAGGAAGGTCGTACCTACGATCTCAACTCGTGGGCAGAAACCAAGGAGAGCCTAGCTCGCCAGAAAAACCTGCCCAAGGATGCGCTCCTTTTGGAAGGCTACCCCGGTCAGGATAACCGACGGTATGTCACCATCACCATCGCTAGCGTCTCAACCATGTTGACGCCTCTGCACACCACCCCGCTTGTTGCTTCATGCATGTTTTTATTTTATCACGTGTGTACACAGGAAGCACATGAACGACTTTGGTGGCCAAGAGATTGTGGATTTAGATGGCGTGGGCGGAGCCATGCTGCTCGTACGCGGCGCCGCTCACCGTGCCGGCCTCATCTTTCCCACTTTTGGTGCGTACCGCCATGCCTTTTTTTTTAAACAGGGGCCCCTTCTCTCGTCGTACCCTCACCCTTTTGGCGTCGTGACTCGCAGTATTTGAGCACCAGATTGAAACTGAGGGCCTGGGCCGTATGGCCAAGGCCATGGGCTTGTCGGTCGTCGGCATGCCCAACGTCAAGGTGTACCATCGTTGATCAGATTGGAGTTGTCGTTGTGTGCATGTTGATAATAATCTCATCAAAAGAAAAAAAAAAAAGTTGGCCCCTATTTGTCAGACAAAAGGGGAAGAGAGAAATGGGCAAGCCATTCGAGTAGAGCGCCATTTATATAGTTATTTATGCGGAAGAGCTGTTGTTGTTCACAACAGTTGTCCATCGACAAGCCCAAGTGGCGCAATGGTAGCGCGTCGCCCTCCTAAGGCGGACGTTGTGGGTTCGAGTCCCACCTTGGGTGCTTTTTTGCTCTCAAGGAAGCGTGTGCGTTGTTACAGGACAATGTTTTTTTTTTTTGTGGTTATGTAACCTCTGATGAGCCGTCCATCACAAGCGGGCTGTTGCAGTTACGTGACGCTGGTTGGGCTGGAAGCAATTGATTCTCATCCTCGTTTGCTTGTGCTCTGGTCAGTGTTGTCCAACCCTTCAGACTGCCGGCTGCCGCATTTTTTTTTTCCGTTCCCAGTTCCCATTACCAACTGTAAGCCATCAACCAGTTCTCCAAGTGTGATCACCATTACACTTTGGCCCTCTCTCAAGAGAGTATCTGCGCTCTCTCTGCTCTCTCTCTTCGCTCTCCTCTTCACTACTGTACTCTCTCCTCTTCACTCTCTCCTCTTCACTCTCTTCTCTTCCTCTCTCTCGCCTCTCTCTCTTCTCTCTCCCTCTTCTCTCTCTCTCTTCTCTCTCTCTCTCTCTCTTCTCTCTCTCCTCTCTTGTGTCTTTTTCTTCATACACACACGTGGAAGGTTGGTCACGCTCTTCTTCTCTCTCTCTGTCTCTCTGTCTCTCTCTCTCTCTCTCTCTTCTCTCTGAACGTCTGGGTGTGTCAAAAGGGCAGCGGGGCGGGGGGACAGAAGGAGGAGGGAACGAGCTGGGTGGTCTGACGACCTGGTGGCAGATGTGCATGATATACCTGTGGTATTGGGTGTTGATGTGGGTTGTTGCTCCCCACCGCAGCCTCACATGTTGACGGGTGTATGACGCTGCTCAGGTTCTTGAAGAAGATTTTTTTTCAGCTGTCGCGCCGCCGCCACTACCTCTCTTGAGCCGCACGCACCATTCAAGATGGCTGACACCGAAGATCACAATGTTGAGATGTGGAAGATCAAGAAGCTCATCAAGAGCTTGGAAGCTGCCCGCGGGTTGGTTGACTCGCTGCCATGCCTCTTTCCAAGACGGCTGCGGCTTGTGCGCATCTTCTTTTTTTTTTTTTCGGCCTCCGCTCGGACTACTTTTGCAACTGCTGGCTCTTCCGTTGTGGCCGCCGCCGCGCTCAACGTCGTCCTGTCTCACCTCCTGGATCATTGCCATTACCTCGACTGGTGTCTATTGTCATCTGTAGCAACGGTACCAGCATGATCTCCCTCATCATTCCCCCAAAGGATCAGGTGGCTCGCGTTCAAAAGATGTTGGCCGACGAGTACGGCACGGCCTCCAACATCAAGAGCCGCGTCAACCGGTGCGTCCTGAACCCCCACGTGATGCTCACCCAGGCGCAGGCCCGAGCTTTGGCACAAGCTTGCTTCAAGAGAGCGTGGCCACCTGTCATCTCATCCATAAACCCACTCGTGATTTTGCTTAGTCTCTCCGTGCTTGGTGCCATTACCTCCGTGCAGCAGCGCCTCAAGCTCTACACCAAGGGTAAGCCTGTCCACCTGGCACCTGGACCTTCCTTCTTCGGTCACTCTCTTACCGCTATCCTCCCCCGCCCCAACCTTGACAGTTCCCCCCAATGGTCTGGTCGTCTACTGTGGTACCATCATGACGGATGAGGGCAAGGAGAAGAAGGTCAACATTGATTTTGAACCCTTCAAGCCCATCAACACCTCCCTCTACCTCTGCGACAACAAGTTCCACACTGAAGCTCTCAGCTCCCTGCTCGAGGACGACTCCAAGTTTGGCTTCATTGTCATGGATGGTTAGTTGGCCCACGCCATCCGTGTCAGGCAACCTTTGCGCTCGACCTTGGCCTCGGGTCTCGCCCTTCTGACATGCGTGCACTGGCTGATAGGTAATGGTTCGCTCTTTGGTACCCTGAGTGGCAACACCCGTGATGTTCTGCACAAGTTCACCGTCGACCTGCCCAAGAAGCACGGTGCGTTGCCCTTCAATCTCCAAGTTTCCCAGGTTCACGCGCCAGTGGCCTCGCGATTGGCCTGTGGCAAACCGCGGCCTGTTGCCACTTGTTAGCAGGGCCCTCATCGTCAATTGCTTGGACTATCGTACACAGGTCGTGGTGGTCAGTCCGCTGTGCGTTTCGCGCGTTTGCGTATGGAAAAGCGTCACAACTACGTTCGCAAGGTGGCCGAAGAAGCCGTCCGTCTCTTCATCACCAACGACAAGGTCCAATTTCATGCCCATCCCGTTGATTTTTTCTTTTTTTTTTTTTTTTAAAGAGGGACAGAAGGGGGGGGGGGGGGGATTGAGGAGAATCGCCTGCTGTGGCTCACATGTACATCCGCTTGGTCTTGGGGTCCATTAGATCAACGTCTCGGGTCTGATTCTGGCCGGTTCGGCCGATTTCAAGACGGAGCTGTCACAATCAGGCATGTTCGACCAGCGTCTTGCAGAGAAGATTATCAACATTGTTGATGTGTCCTACGGTGGCGAGAACGGCTTCAACCAGGCCATCGAGCTTTCCACCGATGTCCTCTCCAACGTCAAGTTCATCGCCGAGAAGAAGCTCATTGCCAGCTACTTTGATGAAATCTCGCAAGACACGGGCAAATATTGCTTTGGCGTCGAGGACACCATGAAGGCTCTCGAAATGGGTACGGCTTGCCGTTGGGGCCTTTGACCCGTTTCTGGGCCTCTGAATTGTAGTTCTGCCCGATTGTACCAAAGAGTGCTGACCATGCCGGCATGATGCTCAGGTGCTGTCGAAACGCTGATGGTGTGGGAGAACCTCGAGACCATGCGTTATGAGCTCAAGAACCCAGACGGTCAGGTGGAGGTCAAGTTTCTCCGCCCTGATCAAGAGACCGATGCCTCTCACTTCCAGGACAAGGTCAGTGCTGTGGTTGGCTTGCGCTTATCCATTGTAAGGTTGTGGACAGCGCTTGGGGTGGGCAGTGCGGTTCTCTGAATGGGGTGGGGTGTGCGTGTTTTGGGCGATAGGATGGCCAAGACCTCGAGACGATTGACAAGATGCAGCTGCTCGAGTGGATGGCCAACCATTACCGCGAGTTTGGCACCGTTCTGGAGATTGTGACGGATCGTTCCCAAGAGGGTTCGCAGTTCTGCCGTGGCTTTGGTGGTATCGGCGGTACGTTTCAGTGAGCATGCATGGTTCACCTTGGTAGCTTGTTTATTCTTCCTTCCTTCCGTTTTGTCTGTTTTTTTTCTCACCGTGTGTTTCCACGCACCTTTTGCTCGTTTGTTTGCGGTGGTATCCAGGTTTGCTGCGGTACCGAGTTGACTTCCAAGCCATGGAGTTTGATGAGGATGAGTTTGCGGATGCGGACCTCGATGATTACTTTTAGTTGTGCGCGCGATCGTCACGCCCGGGATTAGCCACGGGCGTTCCGATCGCCCGCGAGCCGCCCTTCGGGCGCAACCCAATCTGTTGTTGTGTGTTTTGTTTTTTGTTTTGTTTTGTCGTGTGTTTCCTCTGCCGTGTTGCTGGCTTTGTTTCACCTTTCCTTTCTTTTTTTTTTTCCCTTTTTTCTTTGTTTCCTTCGTATGCCAAAGTGCCTGGGGGCCCCTCCCCGGTGCCTGATGGGCTTGATGGAATGCATCGTGGTTCAAGCATATTTTTCTTTTGATCGACACACGTCATGCAGCCTGAGACTCTTTGTTCACAATTCAAGGTCAAAAGAGTAGTAGCTGATCTGTGATCTGGACGAATGAGTTGTTCGCCCACATGAACATGATGAATCCAACGCAACAACAAAGTTGATCTACCAACATGCCCTGTCCTGCCACGACTCCGCGGCAAATGAACACCACGCTACATGCGCTCTAATCCGATGTGCACACGCATCCACACAATGTCCCTATGATGACAACATACCGCCGAAAACGTGCAAACGTTGACCATGTTGGTGTGCGTGTGTCTGTCTCTGTCTCTGTCTCTGTCTCTGTCTCTGTCTCTGTCTCTGTCTCTGTCTCTGTCTCTGTCTCTGTCTCTGTCTCTGTCTCTGTCTCTGTCTCTGTCTCTGTCTCTGTCTGTCTCTGTCTCTCTCTGTCTCTGTCTGTCTCTGTCTGTCTCTGTCTCTCTCTGTCTCTCTCTGTCTCTGTCTCTCTCTGTCTCTCTCTGTCTCTGTCTCTGTCTCTGTCTCTCTCTGTCTCTGTCTGTCTCTCTCTCTGTCTGTCTGTCTGTCTCTCTCTCTGTCTCTCTCTCTCTCTCTCTGTCTGTCTGTCTGTCTCTCTCTCTTTCGCTCTCTCTCGCTCTCTCTCTCTGTCTGTCTGTCTCTCTCTCTCTCTTTCGCTCTCTCTCTCTCTCTGTCTGTCTCTCTCTCTCTCTCTGTCTGTCTCTCTCTCTCTCTGTCTCTCTCTGTTACGCAAACTCTGGCTACATGTGCGCGACGGAGCTGGCCGGCACATGGGGAGAGGGGGGAAGGTGATGGAGATCTGCAGTTCTGGGCGAGAGGAGCTGCAGGAGCGCGCGCGTCTGATCGAGGACAGTCCTCAAAATCAGCATTTTTTTTTTCTTTCCAGTTTTGTCGGGAGCGTTGGATGAGTCGCTGGAGGCGTGTGCATGTGCTGCATCTCCCATATGTGCAGTGTTCGGGGGGTTGTGTTACAGAGACCTCCATGCGTTAGACATGGGTGGCTTGAGAAGGATCGAGCTTTGCAGTGGCAGCGCTGGCCCAGTTCAGGGCCAGTCTGTGGAACGGGAGCATCAACGGCAGCGAAGGACAAGATCGGGCCGAATGCACTGCTCGACCAGCTTTCAGGCGACTAAGCTATAGCCCCCGTGCGGCACGCGTTTCAAGGGGGGCTGACCCACGGCTCTCCTGCTTGGCACGTGACTGCAAAACTGGCAACATGAAACACTGGCCCCCATCGCTGGTACACTTGCTGGCGCGATCTGCCATGGAACCGTCAGGCGCATGTATTCTCCCGATGGCCCGTGCGCCTTATTCCCTCTTCGGAGCTTCTCCACCAACGACCACCGGCCACCGCCATCGCTGCCGTCGTCATCCTGCATCGCATATAACAACGACGCAGTGTAACAAGTTAAAGTCTTTACTCAAGGAGAAGATGCTGATTGAATCTTGTTTCAAAGGTATAATAACGATAAGTGTTTTGGAGAAAATGAAGCGTTTTATCAAGATGATGCAGCATTGATGATCATGAAGATCGAGAGCTTCGGGACAATGGCAGCTGGCTCTGGCGGCGCGGCGCGTCTGCAGACGCAGCATGCTGCCAGGGTACCCGCCTGTTTGCACCTCCGGCCCTGTGGCTTCATGTGTACCCCCCGATCAAGGCGGCATCGAGTGCTTTGATCGCTGATCTGCTTTAAACAGCAACACGACATATTACCCTCTGGCTCGGCTTGCTGTCACATGTTCACCCTCTTGTCTTTCAACCACATTGGTAAGTGACCTCTGAATTGTCCCCCTATTTTCTTGTATCCTCTAAAACGAAAGGAAAACTCCGCTTATGCACTTACCCTCTCAGCCCTCTCTCTCTCTCATCTGCAACCCCGCTTCACCACAATTCTCTGAGCAGAACACCAGCTCCTCTCCCTCTCTCTCGCCGCGCGCCGGCTCCAACTCCCTCTCTCTCACTGACCCAACTCCTCCATTTTTTTTTTTTTTAATTTTTTCTGTCGCACGCGCCTCTCTCTCTCTCTCTCTCTCTCTCTCCAGCGACGTCGACGTTGCGATCGGGACCTGGAAAGGCTTGCGCTCCTTGCGAAAGTTGGGATCGCTCGCATCGTCAACGTATCGAGACTCGAGACTTGACCACCGTTCGTTGCACGATGAAGGTGACGGGTCTGGCCGTGCTGGCCCTGGTGGCTCTCCTGGGTGGCGCTCGTGCCGAAGGATTGCAGGTCAAGACGACCAACGGCGTTATTGAGGGCTTTGCGACCAATGAGGCCGATATTTGGATGGGCATCCCCTACGCCCTTCCCCCCGTCGACAACCTCCGTTGGCAAAACCCCGAGCCCATGACCAACTGGCCCGGCGTCCGCGAAGCAAAGAGCTTTGGTCCTGCTTGCCCTCAGGTCCGCCCCCTTTTTACACCTGTCAAACCCCGGCTGCCCCCTACCCTGTCACAATGGTCCTTCTGATGTGCTCTGATCGCGTGCGCTTTTTCCGTTTTCTTCCCTCCGCCCCCTCCCATTTGGCTACAGAAATGCGAACTGCCTCCATTGGCTTGCCAGGATCAGATCTCTGAGGACTGCCTGTATCTGAACGTCTTCGCCGCCAAGGTGTGAACATGTCCAAAGTCCTTCTGCAAAAGCCTTTGGCCGCAGTGAATGGACTGACCACGTTGATTGCTTGCCCCGCATCATCACCATCATCATCATCATACTCATTCATACCCATGATCCTGTTGTGCGCCGCTGTTGAACTTTCGTGCCTGGCTAGAATGTGCGCAATGCTTCCGTTCTAGTGTGGATCCACGGCGGTCGCTTCGAGCAGGGCAGCGAAGGCGTCGAACTCTACGACGCCCGTTACATTGCCAACTTCTCCAACACGGTGGTCGTCACAATCAACTACCGGTTAGCAACACCGCAGCTTGCACCCGCCTGCTTACACCTGCTGCACCGCACAGACCGCTCACCACCTCGACGCTTCCGCGGCCCCGTTTGCCTCGCTAGACTGGGCGTCCTCGGCTTCTTGACCCTCCCATCGGGCTTCATTGGCAACTACGCGCTGCGCGATCAACGCCTTGCTTTGCAATGGGTCCAAGCCAACATTGCCCGCTTCGGTGGCAACCCCGACCAGGTCACTATCTTTGGCCAGTCAGCCGGCGGCACCTCCGTCAGCGCTCACCTCACGAGTGAGCGCTCCTACGGCCTCTTTAGCGGTGCCATCATCCAGAGTTCCCCGTACGCGCTCCCGCTGCTCAAGACTGAAGATGCGTATGGCCACTACGACCACTTTGTGCAAGAGACTGACTGCCAATCTGCCAGCGACACGGCTTGCCTCCTCAACCTCAGCTGGCATGAGGTTATCGACGCTGAAATCTCCGCCCAGGCCAAGCTCTACCTTGAGCGCCCCCTGATCATGTTCTTCCCCTGGACCCCTGTCATCGACGGTTACGAACTGACAACTGACCCGCTCACCGCCATCAATCGTGGCGAACACGCCAAGGTTCCCATTGTGATTGGCAACGTTGCCGAGGAAGCCTGGATCTTCGTCTTCACTGCCTTCCCCAAGCTCAACAAGCTTGAAGCAGAGGCCCTGATTGATGTCATCTTCCGCAACCACGATGAGCCCAAGGGCATCTATGACCTCTACAAGATCCCTGATCAAGCCGACGACTATCGTCCTTGGATTTCCGAAGTTGCTACCGACTTTATCATGCTTTGCACTTCCCGCAACGCCAGCGCCGCCTGGGAGAAGTCGGGCATGCCCGTCTACCGCTATGAGTTTAACCACTCCTGGTCCATGAAGGGTGCTTGGGGTCCCGCCAACGCCTGCTGCGAGGGACACGCCTGTCACGGCGTAGAGCTGCCCTTTGTCTTTGACTCAGCCAACCTGCTCAACTACACTTTTGATGACGGTGAGCAAGTCTTGGCTCGCGACATCACAACGGCCTGGGGTGTCTTTGCCAACACCTTCAGCCCCAATGCCAATGGCCTGCCCCAGTGGCCCCAGAATAAACCCTCGGAGGATGATGCCATCCTCTGGTACTCAAGCGTGGACACCCAAGTAAAGACGCAATTCCGCAAGAAATTTTGTGACTTTTGGGACGCGCAGGGCTACATCTTCTAAGCAGCGAACGACAGACTTGTGGCGCATGGCGCTGGTGAGACAATTCCTCCCTGGCTCGACGCCCGAACTGCTCTCCTGACGACATCATGGAAGCCCCCGCCTTTTTCTTCTACGAACCAAGCTAGACTTTGCATGTGGTATCGCTGTTGTTCTTTTGCTTTCAAGATGACTTGTTTTTTCTACATTTGCGCTTAGTTTTGGTGTTTGTGTTTTGCTTTGATAGAACTTGGCGCGCTTTGTCGCGTGTTTTTTGGTTTTTGGTCGCCTTTTATGAGCATATCGCTTGATGAATGCCTTTGATTGCTGTGTACAGGGTGCTTTGCTCACCTAATTCACCAAAAAAAAAAAAAAAAACCCCATCACACCCGCTTGAAAAAAACGTCATGAGATGAAAACATCAAACCATGAGAATTAAGTTGATCGATTATTGCTCTTGAACAGGTGGCCCATCACTGGCAACTATCACAGGTACAGGAATGGCTACAACCACCACCATTAACAGTGACGTAGCCGCCCGCCTGCGTGTTACCATCACACCAAAAACATGGCCACCACAAGCAGAAAAAAATTGGGACAATTTTGATTAAATGACCAGCAACATTGTTGACCCTGCAATACGGATGGGCGAAAAGAACGCATTACAACACCCAACCTTTATCATCAACGACTGGTGTAAACACGGACTCACGGCATTGATGTGGGAGGCACGCTGCACCCGCACATGGCGCCTCGCTCCCCCTCACTCATACTCATGTGTCCGCGTCCGGCCCTCAAGGTCAGGGCCTCTAGTCGTCGAGCTGCGTGAGCAAGGCCACGCCGCGCTGAATCCAGTGATCCTCTGGTTTGTCTGATGGCAGCTTGATGGCGATGACATAGTTGGACGAGTGGCCTGTCGTGGACAGCACGCCACGTCGATCCGATGTCTTGTACACAGGGCAGTTGTACACCTGGGCCTGGCTAATCTCGTCCTTCTTTGCGGGAATCAACTGGATCACAGGCATGCGATTCGCCAAGACCTTGGCCTCTTGTTCGCCCAGCACCATACGTTCGGCATCCCAGCGGGCGCCGTCCAAGAAAAGTCCATTCACATATGCGCCATCCTCCGGCGGTTGCTCGTAGACGCGATCCTCCATGACGCCAAAATCAAAGGAGAGGAGATCAATGGGAATCTTGTACTTGCGCGCGTAGTTTTGTTGCACGCCCGTCAAGAAAGCCTGAGTAAAGTAAAAACCAGAGATCCAGAACACGTTGGGCGCGCCGTCCTTATACCAGTCCTGCAAGAACTGCAGTCGCGTCAGCAAGTCGTTGACATAGCTGCCCAACGGCTTCAGAGAGGGGTACGACTTTTTCATCCACAAGCTTGGAATCTTGCCATTGAGCATGGCATGCGCCACCTGCTCCAACTCGGCACTCATCACAACAAGACCCTTGACAGCTTTTTGGATGTTGATGAGGGATGAGCGCACCACCTCCGTTAGACGATTGAAGCGGCCCATCTCCTGTACAAGCACCGTGTTCATCGACTCCTCATAGGTAGTCGGGTATTTACGCAGTGCAGCGGCTTCATCAAAGGCGCGAGGCAGTTTGCTCAAAATGTCAGTGGCAATCTCACTCAGGCGCTCGTCATCCGACTTGCCACCGGTCGAGCCCTCGCCGCCCGAGGCAGCCTGCGTCAATAAGATGGAATCAAGCAAATCATTGGTAGCCTTCTGGTCCTTGGTGATGTCTGCATTCGAGTGCATGCCAAACACCTCTGGCTCGGGGATGAGCGGGAGTGCTTTGGCAAACTCGATGTAATGCTCGTATTCGCCATGAGGCGGGGCCATGTACAGGCCAGAGGCAGAGAACGAATAGTCATTTTGCACCATCTCCGCGTTGAGCACGTTGTTGAGGATGCTCACCAAGCAGCGTCGATCCCAGTCATCCGTCACGCGACCACCATAGTTGCACTGTCCGATCAAGTAACGAATGGCCTCGTAATCGACATGCTCATACTGGTTCAAAAACTATCGAAGAGAGTGACCCAAAGATGAATGAGTGCAAGGCGTGCCCAGCGAAAGAAAGAAGAACACGATCATGGGCGTGTGCAAACAGTGAGGAACACTGCGACACCCGGCCGACAAACATACCATGTTAATCTGTTTGATCGAAATCTGGAAGTCGGTATCGTTAAACTCGTAAGGGATGTTCCACCCCAAAGCTCCAAAGCCACGGCGCTCCTGCACCAGGGCATGGAAAAAGCACAATCCATAGAGCAATCGACGGAATGGCTAAGGATGCGCCACACCACCAAAACAAGCAAAAAAACGCGCAACAGATGCATGCAACGTGAGAAGAATGTATTAAGCAGTGAAGCAAATGCTTTGCCATGATACGAGGATTAAAAATCAACCAGCTAGCACTTGCAAACAGAGTGCAAGCGTAACGACATACCTTCTCCTGCTTGCAACCGGTGAAAAACTCCATATCCGAAATGGGATCCAAAAGATAGCTTCGAATGATGTTGTTGCGCAGACCCTTGGGAGGCTCGTTGGTCATCTTCACACCATTCTGCAAGACTGTCACCGGGAAGGCCGGACTGGGATAGGAGGTCAACCACAGGCGAAAGTTGGGATGTGTAGTATCTGGCTTCAGTTCCTCGCAGATGCGTTCCAACGTGGACATCCAGCTCACTGCCAAGTGGCAATTTTGCAACACAACCCACGTGCCGTCCTGGATGCCCTTTTCGATCATTTTCATGGCAATGGGCCCCTGGCCCTGACCCAGAGACAGGGTTTGCATTGAGTTGCCAAAGCCTTGGTCGTCGGCAAACTTGAGCAACGCACTCATCGGATCGCCACCGGGCGACAGGACAAAGATGAGCGGCGCGCAGCTGTGCGAGTCGGCAAAGGCACCGGCCAGATCAAACGGCGGCGGCTCAATAAACTTGCGACCCATGTGCTCCTCGACAAAGCCCTGCACAGCAGGCGTTACTTTGTCGGGGCGCAACGAGCGCAAGAAGGTCAGGCGCTGAAAGCTATCAAACTCGGCTGCCAACGCCGGGTAAGCCTCGGTCTGTGGGGTGGGTGAGTCGTACACCGCCCGCCACGCATCCACGTTCTGCACAAACGACTCGCGGATGCCTGAAAAGCGGTGGACGTCGTCCAAGCGGCAAATTTCATCCCAAGCCTTGGTTGGCAGCCACGAGGCAGGATTAGTGTGAGGGTTGTCCAGGCCCACGCCGCCCGTCAGGAAGAAGACCCATTCTTCAGCCTCAATCTTGCCCGCCGCCTTCATGATGTTGGTGCAAAGCAACAAAGAGAACAGTAGCTTGTCCTTTTCAAAGAGCGACCGGCAGACGTTGCGATACACGCTGTATGTAACGTGCGCTTCCAAATTGGATAGGCGCTTGCCCAGGTCTTCAGCGGCCTCTGATTGTTCAATCGAGTTGAGGAACAGCTTTGTGAACCATGGCAGCGAGTACTGGTACATGGGATCAATGCCTGCCATCTGCGCGATGGTGAAGAAGAGCGTTGATGAGTGCTTGGCGATCGGCGTGTAGCCGCTGCGCGCGGCGTCAATCTTGGCCTCAGTTTCCTCGGCCACCTGTTGCTTTTCTGAGATCTCGTTGGCCAGCACTTTGGACGAAGAGAGCACCTTGATGGCAGTCTCGTCCTCCAAGATGTTGCCCTCCGATGAAGACAAGACCTCAAGAATCTTGTCTTCAATCTCCTTGAGTTGGCGCTTGTTGGCGGCCGATTGCAAAATGAGGGCGTTCTTTTCCTCCTCAAGCTCGGGTCGCTCCTCAGCCACGACAATGCCCAAGAGCTGATCCTGAAGACCAGCGGGCGTGATCATAAAATTGAGCACGGTCACCTTAACCGAGGTTTCTGGCAAGTAGTGTGGGTTGGGCAGTTTCGTGGTGATGTAGAAACGGAAGTCCTTGCTGTACTCGATCGTGGCATCACCCAGGCGAATGCAAATGGCGCCGCCCTGCTTGAAAGTCTGCTTGAGGAGGATGGGCTCAAGGATTGAGTCAAGTTCCTCGCCCACATTTTCCAGCAGCACGGGCGTGCCGAACTGAATGGCATTCTCCAATGTACGGACAAAGTCAGCATCGGTCAACTTGATGATTGAAAGCTTGTTGTCCTTCTCCATGTTCTTGACCCACTTATTGGCTTGGCCTTGAGGGTCAATCATGAGTGGCCAGCGTCGCGCGTGGGATACAATGATGCCGTTATCGACCGAGAAGCTATCAGTGGGTAACCCAGCAATGTTCCAGTCTCGGATCTTCACGGGATCGCCCAGCGTGGAGCTGAGCGAAAAGGTGGTGGACGAGGGGATCTTGAGCTCCTTGCAGCGCTTCAACCATTCTTCGCACTGCGTGTGACGGAACTCGCTGGTGAAGGCACCCAAGTAGGCCACAAGGCCTGAGGAGACCAACACGTCACCCGTCAGGTTGGTGTAAGTTTCGCCCAGCGCTGCGGCCGTGGCTTGCCAGCGATCCTTCTCATCGCCGAGCGAACCCATGAGCGTTTCGGCACGATCCAGCTTCTTGGCACACAGATCAACTTGCTTTTCGAGTGACTCTTTCTTGTCGTTCAGCTCCTTGAAGCGGTCCTTGAGGTCTTGCAGCTGTTGCTGGATGCCGCGTAGGTTCTCTTGCTTCTCCTTCAGCAAGGCCATGGCCTGGGCCAACTCGCCCTCTGCTTCCTTCAATTTCTCCTTCTTGGGAGCGACCACCTTGGCCACGCGATCGTAGGCCTCCATGGCACGGACCCACGAGCAGAGACCTTCAGCAGCGGACGAGGCCTTGGCCACTTTCTCCGGTACAAACTCCTCGTTCGGAATGTACTCATCCCGAATCTTCTGGATGAGTTTGGCCGGGATGTTGTCCTTGTCAAACTCTTGAAGCGTTTGGAGGAACTTCATGTCACCCAGCAGCTTCTTGGAGGGCCCCCAATAATCCATAATCTTCTTGCCGCTGCCTGAAGGGTCCGGAATCTTCTCAGGGGACACGCCCTTGAGGATGCACACGGCCTCCATGACGAGCTTGACGCCCGAGGGCGGTGATTTCATGCTCTTAACGACGGTAATGTCGGAGGAGGTCAGCGTATTGAGCGCCGCAAGGGCTTTGTTTAAGATGGGGATGGCCTCGGCCAGATCAGCGTCGCACTCGTCCTTGATGGCCTTGGCGGCCTGTGCCTGCTCATTGGCCACAGCCTCATCGGCTGCCACCACCTGTTCTTGCTCGGCCACATCCTTGCTCGAGGCCTCAATCTCGACCATGGCGGCATCTGTCTCCTTTTGAGCCTTGGCCAACTCGGGCTGTAGGGCCACGAGTTCGTCCTTCATGCCGTCAACCTGGGACGCGGCGGACATGAGCTTCTCCAAACCGACCTCGTAACGACGTTTCTGCTTGCTGACCGCCTGGCGGCGTTGATCCAGGAGCGTCTTGAAGGTATTGATCAGCTCCAGGTAGGACGTGGGCGTGACATAGTTGTGCCGCCGGAGACGCGCCAGGAAGCGGTCTGAAAGTGCACGGGTGCTTTCATGGAACTCCTCGCAGAGCTGCACGCAGCTGCTGCGCACGTCGTCTGTCATCTCGACCTCCTCCAAAAAGCGCTGTGCAACAATCTGCAAGGCATCGGCGGGCCAAGCTTGGAACCAATTGATGGTGCAGCAGTTGACAAGGGACGGGAACTGGCGCAGGTTGTTGCGGAAGGCGTCGCCAATGGGGCTCATGGCCAGAACGATGTGCAGGTAGTCCCGCACGCGGCCCACGAACATGTTGAAGAGTGCCAGCGGGGTGCCGTCAGTCTTGAGATGCTTGGGTCGGGTCTTGTCCACCTGGCGCATTTTCTCCACGATTTCGGTCCGCTCATCCAGGGGAAAAATATTGGGCACCTCGCCCGAGTTCAGGATGTTGCTAATATCTTCCAAGTAGGAAGGCTCCTTAATTTGCATGTCGGTAAAGAGGAAGACAACGTGTTCGCCGCCCTCGCCGGCCTTGCGCATGATGCGCTTGAGATCTTCATGCCAGTCCTCTTTGGAATACGCCTTGGAAAGCTCGATCTGAACGAGCTCAAAGTCATTCACGTAGGCAGCGAGCCGCGTCAAAGACTGGCGACCCGATCCACCCACACCCACAAGTAGCGCGTGGCTTCGCGGCTGGCGCACAACACGTGCAATGCGAACGACATGCTCGATGGCGAAGCGGAAGAGAACCAGGTCCATGCGCTTCTTGCTAACGTTGTTGTACTCCTCAAGGAAAGTCTCGCACACAGATTGAAGCCCGGCCACAGATTCGACGCAGGCATACTCCTTCGAATCGGCCTTGGGATTGGCAAAGTCACAGAACATGAGCGAGCGGAGATCATCGTCCGTCACACGGCCGTCACCATCCGCGTCCCAAGATGCAAAGAGCTCATCAAAGGGCACCTGCAGGGACGACTGGCACGTGGTACGGATAAACTCGTAGAACCACTCACGGTCCTCGTCAAAGACCAACCGATCATAGAAGACGCGGTACACCTCGTGCACCCACAAACGCAACATGTCGTTGTGGTCAGGGAGCGCCGCGGGCCCTGACATCATGACGCCACCGATGACACGGGCAAAGTCGCGCAGATTGAAGAGATAATGCGACTTGGCAGGGGTAGGCAGAAGATTCGAAAAGGCGGCCTTGTACACGGCGGACGTCGCGCGCACGAGCGATTGGGACACGGCCTTGAAAGAAGGATCAAAGCCGCGAGCATCGAGGTGCCACTGCATGATGCGGTTGAAGATGAGCTCGTTGGTGTCGTCATCAAACTCATTAATGGTGATACAGTGGAGGTGGCGCATGAAGCGCTGGGTGACAGTGTTGCGACCACCGCCCGGGGGGCCCATGGCACAGATGAGCTGAATGTCGGCCAGGCCCAGGTTGGAGCAGTCCTTGAGATCATACCAGTTCCAGTGATCCATCCACTGGCGCAGGAGCTCGATGGGCGGTTGAGCACCATAATCCTCCTTGGCGGGCATGTTCAGATCATCCACAAACACAACCACCTTTTGACCCATTGGGGGGCCGTACAAGCCCTTGCGACGCTTGTCCAGCTTGCCCATGATAATTTCCTGCGTCTGCTGGGCCGTGGTCTGCGCGGAGAAGTTGACGACCAGGGGCTTGTACGTCTCCTTGGGCAGGTCCTTTGCCAAAAACTGGTTCACGTACACCGACTTACCCGTGCCCGTGGGGCCGACAAAGACGGGATAGCGCTGATGCTTGACGAGCAAGTCCAGCAGGTAGGTGTAGCGGACCGTGTCAATGGTGGGCACGATGATTGAGTGGAAGGTCGTGTCCTTGGGAAAGGGGTCGTTGTTGACCAGGTCGCGCCACGGTACCCAAACACCAGGCCCCTCCTTCTTAAAGAGATAGTTGAAGCATGTCATCTCCTCGGGCATGGGCACGCCGATGGGGCGACGAGGCGGACCAGCAGGCGTCAGAATGCCCCAATCGGTCATGGTGGATTGGTCCAGGCCCGTGGTCATGAGGCGGCGGAGCAGCTCATTGAATTTTTGGCGACCCTCGGTGTTGGTGCTGCCACCCAGTGACCAGACGAAGGAGAAGATGAAGCAACCCTCGAGCCAGTTCTCGACCTGCTGTGCAGACAGAGAGGCAAACGTCTTCTCATCCCGGAATTCGTCCATGAGGCTATCGTACATCTCCATGCAGGAGCGCACCAGGTTGATGTCGCCGGCATAGGAAAGATGGCGATAGTCAGGGCGATTGATGAACTCGAGTGTTGGGGGCACCATGCGCGTGAAGTACTCGCGAATCAATTCATGATGCACCGAGGTGAGGGTAGCGGGCAGCGTGTTGAGCCAGCTCTCCAAAACGGGCTGCCAGCCCAACATGTGAGGCTCCATGTAGATCATGCCGCACCGGGAAACGGTCGCGGGGGAGGCCACCTCAAGGTCCATCGGCTCGAAAATGAGGTTGGTGGTATCTGCCAGCGCGATGATCTCACCAGACATGAGGCAGAGCTTCTTGTTGTCGTCGAGGACCGTGTTCATGTTCTCAATCCAGATGGCATCAACCGGGCCATCAAAGATGAGCCACTTGCGGTCCGGTGTCTGTGAAACGGCAAAGTCGCGGTAGGACACGGCCAGGATGCCGTCGGACCATTCGTGGGAGACCGGATCAAAGGAGCCGTAGAGTTGACCCATGGTGATGGACTTGGGGTTGATGACGGTAATCTCAACCTTGTTCTCCTCCATGAGACCTTGCTCGGAGATATCCTTGAGGGCAGCGGCGAGAACACGATAGGCACATGTCTTGCCACCATAGCCCTCACCGACAATCATGAAGCCGTGGCGCACGAGCATCATCTCATAAACCTGAAGAATCTTTTCCACAAAGTTGTCGGTGGCTTGAAGGTTCATGCGTGCGCAATTCTCACGGATGGCCTTGAGCAACACGTCATAGTCTGGCTCCGGCAGCTTGATGCCGGGGAAGAGATCCGAGATGATACCGCGGAAGAGAGGCAAATCGTGCGACAAGAACTTGGGCAAGTTGACATCCGTAATCGAGCGCAACATGAGAATGTCCTCGCTCTCTTCGGGATATTTGAGCTTGAGGTTGCCAGCGGCCGTGAGCACTGACTTGACAGCGCGCATGCCGTAATCGTAGTGATACTGCGACGAGAGCTGCTCGGAGCAAAGACGGTACGTGGCCACGATCTTAACCGAAAGGGACCGGGCGGAACGGAAGCCGACTGAATAAAGGACAATCTCAGCAATGAGGGCATAATCAGGCACCATCATAGCAACGGTGCGGAAAAGCGCCTTGAGATTGTCGGGAAGCTCGGATCGCCCAGCGTAACCGGGATTCATGGTAATGAAAACGCTGGAGGTTGGAACGAGGCGGATTTCGGTGCCCTCAAACATAATCTTGTCCTTGCCAGCGTTGACACCGCGCTGGATAGTGAGGATCTGCTGGGCCACGACCGAGAGCACTTCCAAATCAATGCGGTTAAACTCGTCGAAGCAAGACCAAGCGCCGGAAGAGGCGAGGCCTTTGAAAAACTTGCCGAGAGCCTTGTAGTCAAGACCATCAGAGCAGTTGAAAACGACGCACTGCACAGCCACGGCCTTGGCCAGATCCTTGACTGTCTCTGTCTTGCCCGTACCAGCCGGCCCTTCGGGTGCACCACCCAAATGAAGCTCGAGAGCACCGAACAGGGTGCGGTAGCATCGATCGGTCAGCGGCGTCACAACCAGGCGCGCGCTGTTACCAAGGTATTCGTAGCCATAGGCCAGCGTGCTGTTGATCATGCGCGTGATGACTTGTCCTTCCTCAAAGTAGTAGCGCAGCTGAGCGAGCCAGTTGAACTCGTCATCACGGCTCACGCCATCATCCACCAGCTTGGCCAGCACATCACGCGAGTGCACGTCCAACACAACCAAGGCACTGAGAGTCTTGCGAATGTTCTTCGAAAGCTTGCCACGGACCAACTCTACAACATCGTTGATGTCATCGGTACACTGCTGAAGGTAGGTCTCCATGGCCTGCTTGCCGCCACGAATGGCCTCGTGGACGTTGGCGGTCCAAAACTTTTGCGTGACCGCCAGCACAATCTGGCCGGGCCAAGACTGGATCCACTCGGTACGCTTGGTGCCTGCGTAGCACTCAAGACCCTCCACCATAATCTTTCGAATGGACGAGCGCATAATCTCTTCAAGCTGCAGCAGCCACTTCTCCACCTGACCACGAGCCTCGGATGTAGAAATGACTGTGTCCAGCTGCACCAGTTCACTCTCACTTGAGACCATGTGCGTGATATCAAGATCCTCGGTGAAGGAAAGCTTGGCAATACCTAAATTGGGATTTTTTTTTATTTTTTTTTTGTGGGCGTGCATGTAAATGAGCGAGCGAAAACAGGTAACATGTTTCCCTTTCAACTTGCTCCAAAACGCCTCGAAACATTTGCTGCCTGGTTGTGGAGGGTGCAAGTCAGCAACAGAACGCTCACCTTCGAAGCACTTTTTGAGATGGGGCTGCACACGAGTCGGATCTTTCGTCTCTGACAAAATTTCGAGCATCTCGTCGTTTGACAAAAAGAAGAAACGGCTGAAGTACAGGCGCTTCTGCTCCAAATAACGATTCAGACCCTATACATTCAAGCCAGCCACAGACATGAGCAGGCGAAAGACCATTACTGCTGTCCTCATCCGACATGATCGGATATGCGAGTGCCAAAGTGCCGCGTACCTTGAGAATTTCCTCGAGCAAAACATTGGCCTTGTTGAGCTTCTCCAGCATTTTGTCCACACGCACCACCATGAGCACGTGCTTATCCTGCACGGCTTCCTTCATGGTGTCACGCCACGTCTTGTCGACCACATTAAACTTGCGGCCTTCTTCGGGCATCTGCGCCATGATGTCAGGTGAGGAGAAGATGGGCTCGAGGTACAGCCAGGTTGCCTGGACCTTGAGCCAAGCATCGATGATGTCCTGAAGCAGAACCAATGTATCATTCCACTCCTTCATTTCCACCTCAAAAGGCTTGACAAAGGGGGACCCCAGCATGGTCTGCGTTTTGACGATTTGATCATCGAGAAGCATTTGAATCTCGTCCACAGAGGAGAGAATGGAAGTACCCGTGTCGCGATAGCTGAGCATGTGAAACTCCATGTCGTGCCATTCCTCCTTCATTCGCGACAAGGCCTTCTCCAGCGAGAACTCCTTGGATGCGGCCTCTGAAATGGCTTCAAACTGATCAAGATAACTGTCCATATCGAGGTCGAGCATTTGAGAGAGGGTTGTCTCCTCGTCCGGCATGAGCTCGTAGCCCACAATGTCGGAGAGCTGAGTCCAATGTCGCTCGCGCAGGCCTGGGTTGCAGATGGCTTGGATCATCGGCAGGTTCTCCTTGAACTCGTCCACCTGCTCCTTCACTTGCGCGGCCAGACCACGGGGCGCGTCCTCGGAAGCAAAACCCTTCTCGATCTTGTACAGATTGCGCCAGCTTGCGGAGACATCGTTCTCGACCTTTTCGGGGTCAATCTTGTCAAAGTCTCCGTTAAGCCACTCGTCCACTTGTTTGTAGTACTCGACGGCCGTGCTGTAAAGCGACAGGAAGGGGGCCAGGGTATTGCTGGTCTTGGCTTTGAGAGGATACTGCGTAATCTCCCAATCAAAGGCCTCCTCCTCAGCATTGATGCCCTCGATCGTGTCTGCAGCAGCCGTTAGGCGAGTGTTCAGGTCGCTCGCCTCGTCCAGGTAGCGCTGCAACTCTTGGCTGTCACCATACTCGGAGAACTTGGCCAACTGAGCCACAGAGGGAAGCAATGAAAACGAGGAACCATGTGAGATGAAAGCATTAAACCCACGGGCAGATGACGGCAAACAGTATAGCGGGCAAACAAACACCTAACCTCCTCAGCAAAGCCTTCCAAGTCGGCATTGAGCTTGTCGCGGCGTTCGCGCAGAGCATTTTCGTTGCGCTCGCGAGCACTGCGCACCAGCTGCTTGTGGGACTCGACAAGTGGTGGCAGCTTGGCCACCCAGCGAAACGTCTCAGCGTTGAGCGTGAGGTCCGAGCTGTGATCGTTGCATGGCGACATGTCAGTACAATGGCGTGCAAGACAAGATTCAGCGATTGCAAACGGGGAACTGATTTGATACGCACGAGGTTAGCTGTTTGTGATCCATCAGGAATTCAACCTTCTTGCGAATGTCTGCCACCGTCAAGTTGAGCTTGGGCAAGCGCACGTTTTCGGCCTGCTCCATGAACTCCTTTAACTGCATGAGATGCTCAGTTGTGGTGGGGGCAGTGGCCGCCCGCTCAGCAATCTCAGCGTAAGATTTGCAGAGATCTTTGTTGGAAACCTACACAAGGAAGAAACGCGGGTGCCCAGTGAGTGGGTCGAATGCGAAGGCAATAAAATCACTTGACGGAGGGCGTGGGGAGGCAAAGCAAAGAGGGACAGGAGACAGAAGGCAAGCAGGTTGGGAGGAGTGGAGAGAAACATATGTGCGTATATGCCCACCTCCACTTCGTCGGCAATAGCGGTGAGGACACGGTCAGCCAAGGCCTTGGCTTTACGGTTCAGGTCGGCCTTGGCCGCCGCCGCATGAATGACAAAAAGCCCGACACGTGCAGAGTCGGCCATGTCAAACTCAATCTGGCGGGCCAGATCGAGGAGGCGGTAGACCTTGTCGGTGCACAGCTGAAAGCTAGGCTGACTGGCCAAAAAATCGTCCATCTCCTTGTCCGCACGGCCGTCAATCAGAAAGAGATACTCGTTGTAGAGCTTCAGCCATTGACTGGGCGCCTCGCGCTGTGGGGCAAATGCGGCCTCAACGCGTTGCTGGTAGGAGGCCAGCTCCTCTGGGCCAAAGCAAGGCGTCAGGAAGGTCTCGCGACCTGTTGGGCGGTCTTCAGCTAAAAAATACTCGACGCGAACAATCTCGCAAATGCTGCTACGCATCTTCTCGAGCAACTGAAGAACGACTGTTTCAATGCCCTCCACGCCCACGGCAAAGCCTAGTTTGTCACCCTGGACCTCGAGCTGCAGGGCAAAGCCACGAAAGCTGCCAACCCCAGTTGGCGGGAAGATCATGTCGAGAAACATGTTGAGCGAGACGGTCAGTAGCTCACGCAACTGTGCACTCATGACAGTGGCGACGGCTTCCCAGTAGCGTGGACTCTTGGCTTGGGGCAAGCGCCCTTGGGCCTTGAGCCCATCCAAAAGACCAGCCAGACTGCGAACCCACTCCTTTTGAATGGCATGGCGGCACCGATCCACCTGAAGTCCAATGGCCTTGCCAAAAGCCACAGCGTCGTAAGCTTGTTTCTTGCGGCAAATCTCCTCGGGCTTGAGCAGCGTTTGATGGCGGTGCTCCAGTTCGTAGGCAGGCAGCAGCAGGCGCAAGCCGGGAGACGTGAGGAAAAGGTTTTCTTCCAAGGCTTGGCGCGCTTCCTGGATGCTGGAAGCCCAGTTGCGTTGCTCATCGGCCAGTTCGGGATTCTGAGCATAAGCCTGCCATTGCGCGGCCACCGCTCCAGCTTGGTCGAGCTTAGGATCGCGCAGAACAAAGTCCACGATGGACTTTTTGATGGCGGCAAGATAAGCGTCGCTGACTTCGTCGTGCAGCGCTTCGACCGAAGGGGCACAACGGGTCTGTAATTGAGTGTCGATGAGGTCGGTGATGTGCGCAAACCATTCCTCGTCAAGACCAACCACCTGGGTGGTGTCGATGCCGTTCATCATGTAGTAGTAATACCGAACGGCATCGTTCCGTGCATCACCCATGTCGCTGTCTTCCTCCTCGGTAGATGCAGCCGCGCCTGCTTCCATTTGCAACGGGGGCAGTTCACCGTTGCGGCGGGCGGCCTCGGTGACGAGGCCTACGAGAGCAGAACGCAGCGAGTCGCGATCCTTGAGCGTGGCCTGAAGGCGAGCCGTCTTAGAGACGCGGTTGCCGTTGCGGCGGGCAGTGCGCCCCGCCGCACCACCCATTGAGCCATTCAGCGGGTTGGAGCTGCCAGCGGCGGCAAGAGGGGCATCTGTGTTGCTGTTTCGCTGAAGTGTGCGGTTGAGTGTGTTAACGAGATCTGAAGGCTCGCCACTCTCTGGCGTTCCGGCCCCGAGCGAAGGGAGACGAAACGCCGCAGCGCTTTGTGAGAACAAGGGTTTGCGTGAGGTCCCGCTCGCGGTTGTCCGACCCAGGTTGGCTGCGGGGTGCTTCTCGCGAGAGGAGGGCCGCATAGCGGCTGTGGCGTCCATGACGCCGATGTCCGTGCCAAGCACTCAAGCTATCAGGGGTCCTTTCTTCTCGCGTCAAGTCTTGAGTCAAAGGATCATGCAAAAGAGGCTGTAACGCCTTTTGGTCGACGTGCAGCTCGGCGGGCAGCAACGGGGCACCACGCCCCTGTGCGGAGAGCGCGACGTCCGAGGCTGACGCACGGTGTAAGAAACTGAGAAAAGGGGAAAGCGTGCGTCTAAGAGCAAGAAAAAACTACAGAGGCCGAGGCGGTAATGGGCTGCGAGGCAAGACCGCATCAAAGGTGAGATTCGACCAGGGCCGTGTTTGAATGCGATCCTGAAGTACTGCCCATCCCGGGCATGTACCATGAAGAAGAGGATAAAAGACAGAAAAGCGACAGACCACACACACACACACACACACACACACACACACACACACACACACACACACACATTGAGACCGCCCAGATCATGATGGTGCGCTCGGCGCGAGAATCAAATCAGCCAGCATGCCGGATACTATCGAAATCGTGTCCATGGAAGCCTTAATGCCATCCCCTCACAAACACCGCCAATACAACTCACAGAGAAGACACTGACACCTCGACTAGCAACACAATGCGACCAGACCACCATCCCCAACACCCATCAAGAGGGCAACACCGACCAAACCTCACCTCGCGCTCAGCTCGCTCGACGCCGTTCGCGCCGAAAAGAAAAATCGAACAAAAAAAGCAAAAAGCTCTTCTTCCGTCGCAGCAACTTGGTCGTCAAGGCGCTCTAAAAGAATGCAAGGATTTTTCAGTGCAATTCAATAGCCCATACGACATG